TATATTCAATACTGCAAATCGAAACAAAGAAAAACCCAAAAGCCAAAACGGAAAAAAGAAAAGAAACTTCCAATTATAACAAGCATACGCCACAATTAAAGCACTATGATCGATATACAACGACAAGGGGAACAATTTAATTGGGAACATCGTGTAAGAAACAAACATGTTCATAACCACCGAACATCAAATTAGTCCCTGACCGAGGGCAGCAGAAGGAAAAACAACAAGCCAGCTCTCTCACACCACAGTGATAAATCATTGACCACGATGGTCCAGGTAGACTGGACGGTGTCGGGTCTGGAGTGTAACCTTTGCGTCATCGCCACACCGCTTAAATAATTAATCCCGTAATTATGCCGCCTTGACCGCCCGCTAGGCGACTTAAGGCGACTTATGGGCGAAGAAATTTCTAGCTAGCTTCTTCGATTGAATGTCATCTGGAATATGTTTATTCATTTTCTTTTTGTATTGTTGATTTTATTTGCGCGTTTGTAGGGTTTGTGGGGCCATTGGAAAGGCAGGGGGCGGTGGGGTATGCGGTTTTTTTCTTCGTAAGAGTTTTACAGCACTTGCAACACAATAAGGTCATATAAATGCCTAAGATTAGAGGTGTTACAAGGGAGTAACAAACACAAAAAAGAAAGAGTGGAGATAAAGACGATAGATGCTTCATAGGAAAGAAGAAGCAAACTACACCAGAGCACCCGCCAACCACCCATGGTGGGGTATTCTATCTCTTTCTTTTTATTTTCGAAAGAATTCAGGTCCTCAAAAGATGCGATTTTAATTGGTTTAGAAAGGAAATCTGCAAATCTTTTTCGTCGCTTGAGATGACGAAATTTTATGGGCGTGGTCTTTCCTTCTTCGGGCAAAGCCTGTGCACATAATATATACTATAGTAAGTCTTTAAGTTTCGTTCGACACAAAATCTCCATCTGTTCAATAAGGTACCTCGAAGGCTTACCTTTACGTTTCTTTTACAGCGTTTTCTATACGAAATTTTCATTTCAGTTTTCGTTTATATTTTGTGACTTTCTTATTCATTCATTAAGAAAGATTATAATATACCATCTTATCAATTTAGACAAATTATTGTGTTCGATATTTCTAAAAGGACGACAACGGCGAGGAAATGTTTCAGCCATTGACAGACATAACCGACGACGATAACAATAATAACAACAAGAACAACAGCATCAGTAGCAACACTGTCTTGCTTATTTCATAGTCTGCTATCTGCGTGAGTTTATCGTCCATTTGACAAAAATAATGATGTGAATTGTGTCGATAAAAGGGGGCAAATTGGCTCTGATATGACCTTATACTGTTGCAAGCACCGTACAACCTCTCTAGGCTCTATTAAAACAAAAAGGGTCAAAATTCTTAACAATTACAACTAATTAGAAGTAAGCGAACCGGAAGTAACCGGAAACTCACCGGAATTTTTGGTGGCCTCCACAAACGCCTGGATGCCCTTCTCCCCGTAGGTTCCTGAGTCGGCCAGGGTATTGACGTATGTCCAGCCCAGGGCCCGGGCAGTGTCCGCCATAGCTTGGGCCTGGTAGTTGTCAGGGGGGACGACTCTGGAGAAGTATTCGAACCTCGTCTTGTCGCTGAGATCGGCACTGGTAGAAGCGTAGCTGATCTGAGGGATCTGGGAGGAAGAGAGAGGGAGAAACAGCGTGATATTATTGTGTGCTGAAGTGTGTTTGTTTGCTTTGTTTCTGTAAAGAGAAGCATATCGACAAAATAATGGGCTTGTAATGCTGTGAAAAAAAAAGACACAAATGGTGCAATGGTATGGGTTTAACGCCTCTATCAACACTGTTAGGCTAATTAAGAGCCGGGACCTGCGATAACGTCCAACTCCGAAAGGACTTAGCCAACTGGGAATTTCGTGGAACGTCCCTTTCCCAAAGACACAACGTCGGACCCAGCTAAGGTTCGAACCTCCGAATCCGCAACCTCACGATAGCCTAACGACAAGGCTACAGACGCCACTGAAAATAAGACAGACAAACAAAAACAAGAGAAGGACAGTTCAAAAGAAGGAGCTCCAACCACCCGCCTGAATTGCATGATTTGTAACATATCTTTCAGCAGTGCAGGACACACAGTGTCCTGAGACAGGAAACATGGCCAACCCTCTTGACAATACAGGAGAGGCTGTGCTGATCGACAGAAGAACTGAGCAGAACGGCCCAGGTTACGATAGATACTGGACTTCAAGTATGATGCGCACGAAAAAAAAAGAAGTGTGGTTTGTTCGTTTGTTTTTCTAGTTATTACTTTTGATACCTTTGTCGATATTGTTGTTACTGCTGCTTTGTTTTTTAATGCTTTTGTATTTGTTTTTTAATTCCTTTCGCTGACATGCTCAATACGGATGAAAGTCATGGTGTTGGTGGTGACATTATTTCATATCTTAGTTGTGGCTACGTTGTCATTACATTTACTCAGATCTGATTAGGAACATGAGAATCAAACTAACTTTTACAGACTGACACTTCCAAATGAATACTCTGCTGCTTCTGATCTTTGTTTAAATCTATTTTTCATCTTGATTATAATCGATTTTAAAAATGCTCCTTTCCCCCTTTTTAGTAACGATCTTTAAAATATTGTATGTTCCTTAATTTGCAATTATCTCCTTTCTGCCAAGCGATTCTAACGGAGATTTTTACGTTATACATCATTAGCACTTGTCAAGAAGAAGATTATTTTCCATTTTTATGAGCTCTTACACACACATGACACTGTGAATCATCACCTGTTCCACTTCACAGCCGTAAATGATATCAGATCTGCGCTTCTCCCTCCGAGTCCTAACATAGACAACACACTATGGAACTTTACAACAATGAAGCAAACCTGCACTTATCACTACATAGCGTTGGACAGAAGGGTGAGAGCCAGCTCAGCTGTTGCTTGATCGATAACAGCAGCAGCAGAAGTAACAACAACAGC